GTGGGGAGGGAAAAATGTCTTTGGTGGTGGGGTTGGATTGCAGATGGTGGAAGTGTCGGAGGATGATTCGTTGGATCCGGAGGTTGGTCGGGTGGTATGTGAGGACGAGGGGAATTCTGTTTTGGTTGTTATTGCGGGGAGGGGGTGTGAGGGATGAGTTGCAGGAAATGCGGGAGACACGGTCGAGGGCGTTCTCGACCACTGAGGCGGGGAAGTTGCGGTCCTTGAAAAACAAGGACATCTGAGATGTACGGGAGTGGAATGCCTCATCCTGGGAGCAGATGCAGTGGAGGCGAAGGAATTGGGAATAGGGGATGGCATTTTTGCAGGAAGGTGGGTGGGAGGAGGTGTATTCTAGGTAGCTGTGGGAGTCGGTGGGCTTGAAATGGATATCAGTTTCTAGGTGGTTGCCAGAGATGGAAACAGAGAGGTCCAGGAAGGAGAGAGAGGTATTAGAGATTGTCCAGGTGAACTTAAGGTTGGGGTGGAAGGTGTTGGTGAAGTGGATGAACTGTTTGAGCTCCTCGTGGGAGCACGAGGCAGTGCCGATACAATCGTCAATGTAATGGAGGAAGAGGTGGGGTTTAGGGCCAGTGTAGGTACGGAAGAGGGATTGTTACGTGGCCCTAAATCCCACCCCTCAACACCTTCCTGCAAAAATGCCATCCTCTATTCCCAATTCCTTCGCCTCCGCCGCATCTGCTCCCAGGATGAGGCATTCCACTCCCATACATCTCAGATGTCCTCGTTTTTCAAGGACCGCAACTTCCCCCCCTCAGTGGTCGAGAACACCCTCAACCGTGTCTCCCGCATTTTCCGCAACTCATCCCTCACACCCCCTCCCCGCAATAACAACCAAAACAGAATCCCCCTCGTCCTCATGTACCACCCCACCAACCTCCGGATCCAACGCATCATCCTCCGACACTTCCACCATCTGCAATCTGACCCCACCACCAAAGGCATTTTTCCCTCCCCACCCTTATCTGCTTTCCAGAGGGACCACTCTCTCCGGGACTCCCTTGTCCGCTCCACACTCCCCTCCAGCCCCACCACACCAGGCACTTTTCCCTGCAACCGCAGGAAGTGCTATACCTGCCCCTACACCTCCCACCTCACCCCCATTCCAGGCCCCAAGAAGACTTTCCACATCAAGCAGATGTTCACCTGCACATCTGCTAATGTGGTATACTGTATCCGCTGTTCCCGTTGTGGCCTCCTCTACATCGGGGAAACCAAGTTGAGGCTTGGGGACCGCTCTGCAGAACACCTACGCTTGGTTCGCAATAAACAACTGCACCTCCCAGTCGCAAACTATTTCAACTCCCCCTCCCATTCCTCAGACGACATGTCCATCCTGGGCCTCCTGCAGTGCCACAACGATGCTACCCAAAGGTTGCAGGAACAGCAGCTCAGTTTCTGCTTGGGAACCCTGCAGCCAAATGGTATCAATGTGGACTTCACAAGCTTCAAAATCTCCCCTCCCCGTACCGCATCCCAAAACCAGCCCAGCTCATCCCCGCCTCCCTAACCTGTCCTTCCTCCCACCTATCCCCTCCTCCCACCTCAGGCCCCACCCCCATCTCCTACCTACTAACCTCATCCCGCCCCCTTGACCTGTCCGTCCTCCCTGGACTGACCTATCTCCTCCCTACCTCCCCACCTGCACTCACCTTTACTGGCTCCATCCCTGCCTCTTTGACCTGTCTGTCTCCTCTCCACCTATCTTCTCCTCTATCCATCTTCTATCTGCCTCCCCCTCTCTCCCTATTTATTTCAGAACACCCTTCCCCTCCCCCATTTCTGAAGATGGGTCTAGGCCCGAAACAACGTCAGCTTTCCTGCTCCTCTGATGCTGCTTGGCCTGCTGTGTTCATCCAGCTCTACACCTTGTTATCTCAGATTCTCCAGCATCTGCAGTTCCTACTATCTCTGCCCAAGAACTTTCACTGACACAAAGGGAACATCTCCTTGGCTCAGTGGGGAACCCAACAGATGTGCACGAACAGTCAGCAGCTTGTTCAGGTCTACAAAAACTGGATTTAAAAATCACATTCCCACACTGTGCAGGGTCTTAGGAAGCTCCTCAAGTACCTAGTTATTGGCAAGTGGATTTCCTGACTGTTTTTTCAGCACTTCTAGTAGCACTTTGAAAATTTGCAACTGCTCTGGAGTTGTGAAGGTCTGTAGATGATCTCATGGACTACAATTTTCACACTCTGTCACAGCAAATATCAAACCAATATTTAAAAATCTGGCCCCATATTTCTGTTATGTGATTAGAACAAAACCATTTATGTCCGTCTGTGCCGTTAGTTCAATCAATCTTATTATGAATACTTTGTGTGCAAGCAAATAAAGATCCTTTGGTTTTTTTTTACCACAATCCTTTGCATAGACCTGTTTACCGATGCACTATTAAAAGCTGTGCCCCATCCTGCTTGTATTTACACTGCTCTATGAAGTCGATATTTCTCTTTAGATTTCTAATGCTCTCTTCACATAACCTCTCACACTTCTTTGAGCCAAATCCAATTGGCGCAGTACTCAGGTAACAGTTCGAAGTTTATCTTTTTTAATTTTGACTGGAACTCCTCATTCCTATTTCTATCTATGTCATTGGTACTCACCCGGACCTCAACAACTAGATTCCCCTCCTTCCATTCCAAGTTTATCTCTAGTCACAAGGAAATGTATTTAACCTGGGAATGGCCACTCACCTCTGTAGCGAACAATATCTAATCTCTTGATTTATATTGTCACCTTTCACTATCAAATTGCTTTTCACGTTGTCTCATAAAATGGCTTTCAGTTTGTGTTATGGTCGGTTTGCACAAACAGCCTGTAATCCTCGTTCTCACTTCCAAGGTAGTAAGTACTTACCTGTCAACCAAAGAGAAGTGCTGAGCTTCCTCCGTCATTACATCTTGGATCCCCTACATCTGCCTGACCCAAAGCTATACTTGCCTCTCTGTGACCAAAACCCAACTATAAATGTAACCGAAGTGGTGTAATTGCCTCCAGGAACAAAATGTCCAGGTAACTCTCCTCACACCTGATGGCCTGCAATGTCTGAAACTCAAACTTCAAAACATGAACTCCTAGCCAAGATGGGTCAAGCTATCGACCAGAGACATATCATACGCAGGATATATCATACCAAAGACCTGATTGTCCAGGATCACAATGCTGTCTATAAAACATCCATATGTTACAGTTATAGCATACTACTTAACCTGCCATGTCTGTCTAACATCATGTTTTTATTAATTTGATTAGGTACTTAATAAGTTATTGTTTTACTTCAGTAAATTAGTAACAATGCTTTCCTAACTTAGAGAAAAAGCACTTAACTGGAGATAAAATGAAAGGAAAAAAATGCAACACATACCCCTCCCCTTTGTACTGATTTCCTATTTGTATGAAATTCCTGACTTTACTACTATGTTTATGATACTGTTCCCTCATTAGTCTCTGTTTCACCCCTAGCTGAAAATCAAGACAAATACCTAGGGCACATGAGAAATGGGATTGTGTAGGAGAGAATGACAGGTAAATCAGAACAACATAATAATTGACATGAAGTGTGGACTTGGAAAGCCTACAGATAATAAAGGGAAGGGAAGTTGGGAAAAGACAGAATTCCATAATGAACTTTGATGTTCTGCAATAGAGAAAATTAAATCACAATTAATGGTGTGATGTACTGAATTTACAACAGCAAGAATGCAATGTGGAAAATATGTAAAATTTGAGTCAAAGTGTAGAAATATTGGAAATCTGCTAACTTTCAATTCTTGATGTATGAATCTTTTCTTCTTTTTGCTTTTCTGTGTTAAATACAATTAAGAAAGATACTTTGAAATTAAATTAAATGAAAACATGAGCTTGTTCCTAAATTAGATCTAATGCATTTAAGAATCCACAGGGAGCTAAAAGGAGCATTAATGCGGTCACTAATGTTGGCCTGGGCCAATGGCTGGCAGCAGTTGTTGTTTCCATTGGAATAATGACTCGGCCACCCTTGAGACCAGTACTAATGAGGTGCCCTCTCACTGACCCCTCAAATTGGCGGTCTGCGGCTCCTGGGCTTTTAGTCCCATTGCGTTTAGGCCTGCAACTGATTCAAATAAACATGAAGACTATACCCAAGGAGCTGTGCAGGTTCCCAGAGGAAAGTAACAGCACTTCTATATTGAAAAACTGACAAATCTTTATAATCTTGGGATTGTGTAAAATCAAACAGGTAAAGCATACTTTCCAGGAAGTTCATCTACGCAAGATTATGATGACATTGATATGATCACTCTTGAAATGCTGCATGCTATTCTAGTTGCTGTGGATCATGGTATATAAGCTGACCCCAATTATTTTACACCAAAACTCATGTCTAAACCTATGTACAGTATATAGGTCAGCACCACTTTTATGTTCAGAAATGTTATACACGTTTGGAGCCTTAGGCTCAATTTTTCATCACAGAAATGCATTTCTTCCTCAGCTTGTAAGATGGCTCATGGGATGAGGCAGCAATAAGAACTTGCCAAGATGTGTTTTAGTTTAAGACCTGGCCACACAAAACAGACTGTGTTTGGCAAATGATGAACAAAAATGCCTTCCCCTTCAAAAATCGTTTTGTGACTGAAAGTCAGAAGATTTGCAAACTCATCAAATAATTGTGTTGGAGCAAATAAATTCTAAGCTGGTGAAAGAAACTGGTGCATATTAGGAAAAAAGGATCCGCTCTGAAGAAAATGCAAGCAGTGACCAGCCACTGGCTTGACTTCAAGAAGGATCCTCAAAAATCATCAGAATGGTTACATCATCATGAGAAATGGTATGAATATTTATGCACTAAGGCCACATGTCCATGCTGAGAAGCTAATTATGGCAGGTTATTGGGCAATTTTCAATTAATTTCCTAGCGCAAGGTAATCTTGTCAGTGATTTCACAGGCTGCCACCACCACCCCCCACCATTGCCTCAACCTCCCCCCATCCCATCAAGTGTCAACACCCAAAAACTCCAAGGGATTTTGTAAATTTTGTCCAAATTATTTATTTTGTTTGTTCAGATCAAAATGTTTTGAACCCATTTTATTACTGAATTCCCCAGGACCACAAAGCTCAAAATCACTTACTGGCTATTGGAATATTCTGTAAAATATTTAATAATGCAGTGTTTTAATCTGAAAACTTAGCTTTGTTCACTCTTTAATGAAATTTCACAATTAAAAAGATACAATACTATATCCACCTGGTGAACATTGTGTTGATCTATTTGGTGATGATGGAGATAGAGATTCATTGCTCATTAAAAGAATTTTGCTCAGTCTGTGCAGTGTGCGGTTTTATAATGTATTTCACCTGAAAGCCCCTCAGTTCCGCTGTCACTTGATACTCGCATGAGAAGAGACAACAAAGCTCAGAGATCACAGCTAAGTGGTCTCCACAATGAAAGCAAAGTTATTATTTTCTCTTCTTTACCCAGGATTGGAGGAGCAGTTCCAGTTGTGTTTTCCTATTTTGCTGAAGTCTTGGCCCGGGAGAAGCGTGGTGAACACCTGAGTTGGCTCTGCATGTTCTGGATGATCGGAGGGATCTATGCATCTGCCATGGCTTGGGCCATTATTCCTCATTATGGTAAGATAACAATACACATAAAGGCTGATCATCACTAGTGCTCTGATATATGTTGGATCACTGTCTGACACCAGGCAGTCTTAGACAATGACTGCCAAAGGGAAGAATCAGATCTGTACGATGAAAAAATGGGACCATTTGAGAAAGTTGGATTCAGTCATTATTTTGAGTTTGAATGCATCTACTGTACTAAAATAAAACAAAGAACTGCAGATGCTGGAAATTTGGAACAAAAATGGAAAATGCTGGAGAAACCCAGCAGGTCTGGCAGCATCTATGGATAGACAAACAGAGTCAAAGTTTCAGGTCTGCTGACCCTTTATCAGAGCTAGAATATGTGAAGGGGTGGGATAGGTAAAGAAGTAAGTGATGGATGGAGATGGACCCCAAAGGGAGAGAAAGACAATTAGGCTGACAAAGGGATGGATAATGGTAATGACTGAATCCATGGTAAACCATGGAGATAGGGCTGTATCTTGTACCCAATCCCAGTACTCCAGGCCCTGTCATCACATGGGCTGCCTTCAGCACAGCAACCCATTTTCACCTACTTAAGGTCCCCATTGGCAGCTTTTCTTTCTCCCTGGTTTATCATTATCCATTCCTTTGCCTGCTTAACAGTCTTTCACTCCCTCTCAGCTCTGTCTCCATCTATTACTTACTCCCTTAACCCCACCCACTATTGTAGCGATTGTAATGAGGTCAGCCAGGTGGATCTCATAGAATATGAGCTCCCTGACTGGGGCTATGAATCTGGTCCAATCAGGGAGCCCTGGCTGATGGATATAAACAGGAGGGTCAGAGGTTCTGTCCAGTCTGAGAGCTGGCTCCAAGGGGGCTGGATCAGTGTCAAAGACTTTCCACATGTAAATAAACGGTGACTTATTAATGGGACACCAGCCTTTCATGGAGTTATTTTAACTGTCTTCAGCATATATACCAATTTTCCTCACTACTGCTGGTTCTGAAGAAGGGTCACCAGACTCGAAACATTGACTCTGCTTTCTCTCTATGGAGGCTGCCAGACCAGCTGACTTTCTCCAGCAATTTCTGTTTCTGTACCTGTCCTATGACTGAACCTGATGGTGCAGCAGTAGTCTCATCTGTTCTTCCCTCACAGTCTGCTGAAGATGTAGTGTTGTGTTTCTTTTTACCTTTAACAATGTAGTTTTATCCCCCCCTCCCCCCATAACATTAGAACAAAATGTGGGTAACAAAGCACTAAAAGATTCAATAGCCTTTTATTACAGCTCCTGGTATCTACGTACATTTAAAGTCATGTCTGGGCAAACTGTAGCACAATATCGTCCCCATGTCTCACTACAGTAAAAAAGGGAGACAGAGACCTTTGTATGATCAAGCCAGATGCTGTGATACAGTGACAATATCAAAAGCATATCTTGTTATGGTATAATGCATACTAGCTATCAGATATAACACAACATGGAGGATACAAAGAGCCTGTAAAGGAATATAGAGATAAGTTAAGTCAGCTGTGTGCCACGATTCATAAATTACTAACATCCTTTAGGGAGGGAAGTCTGCTATCCTTACCTAATCTGGCCTACATGTGATTCCAGGCCATAGAAATGTGGTTGACTCATAACTCAATTCAAGCCGCAATTAGGGATGGGCGAAGAATGCTACTTTTGCAAGCGACCCCCATAATATGTGAAAGAAAAACATATCAGCAGGCAATGTGAAGTTTGTGTTGCCTTCATCACTATGAATGGGTATAGGTAAATTGTGTATCCCGATCCCTAAGCCTAATTTCTAGCCTCGTCTAATTTTTCTCTCTTGTGGCAATGGATTATGATAAGAGGTATTTCTTGAGAGCACTATTCGTTTTGAGTTGCTGGCAATTACTGTGGGCTTTCACGGGGGTCTGATACTTTGTGTGGGCAGAAAACCATGAACAATAGGATGAAGCAAGAAGGGAAGTTCTTTGGAAGAATTTAACTCAGAGTTGAATGAATGTCAACATTATGATGCTAGATTCTATGCAATTACAGCAATCATTTATTTATTTGAAAACCTTTTGGACTACAACCTGGTGTCGTGTGATTTCTGACCTTGTCCATCCCAGTCCAATACTAGCACCTCCACATCATGTCTCCCGTTGATGAAAGCACACTCTTTATACCAAGAGATGTATTCATACACAGGAATGAGAAATAGATGGTCATTATGATGCCAAGTAGATTCTTACCATCAGCCTAATCTTCCTCCCACAATCCCACCTGCTTGAAATGGAAACTGAACTGAGTGAAAGGGAGGGATAAACTTTAAAAAGTTTTAGCGCACAGGTACTGTTATGTTTCTACTTATTGATGCATTTTTTTTCTGTTCTTCTTAAATACATTCAAGAAAAACTACACCCGAGTCCTGTGGAGGCTAGAGTCGGGTGGATATGGTTTGAGGGTGGTACAAAGGTAAAGGATGCAATACAAACAGACTGGTGCTAGTCATGGTAACTTACAATCAGAGGCTCAGTATACAGAACTCCATCTGAAAGTGAGGTGGTGTTATCAATTCATACTAAGTTCTGTGTATCCACAATATTTTTGGTGATGATCTGGCCTATGTTTTGTATTGAGAAACAAAGTATTAGACAACAATAGTCTAATCAACTTTAAGAAGCATTTGTAGATATTTGATAGCATAATACAGTCTCTAAAAGGCAAAGGCATTTATTTTGCTAGAAGTACGGAACTCAATGTTAGCTTTGTTCTGTGGCTTGAGAAGATCCAGATTGAAAATGACTGCCTGCACTTAGGATTCTTTAGAAAGCACTCTTCATTCCTGCCATCTGTGCTGTATTTGAAACCATGTCTGGAGGTGAAACGATCATACTCTTAACCCAGTGTATAATCCAATTTCTTTGAAGGCATTTTTTCCATTTAGCAGGAACTGTGTCATAATTGATTATCCACATGCTGTTGCTCTTGTGTTATTTTACATCTGAATTATACTTCATTCTGTTGGTTAAACAAATCAGTATTAATTCATTTCCTTTGTGACCGTTTTTACAATGAAGTTGCCTGTGGGCTTTGTTATATAACCTAACTGTGCACGTAGATGTTGGTCGCCCCATAGTCCCACCTTCACCTAGCTGCCTTCTCAAGCAGATGGTGGAAGCTTTAAGCCATGGTGCAACTTATCATTGAAGCTGATTATCTCGATTAGTAATGACATTTGCTGATTCTCAGCCAAGCCAGTTCAATGAAAGGCTTTCGGATCTTTTTCTATACAACATGCACCACCTCACATCCTGTTCCCCTTTCTGGTGAAAGAAATATAGGAGTGGTGCTGAGCACATGGAGCTTGAGAATTGAATAGAAAGCTCAGTGATCAGTCAGTTCAAATCAATACACAAAGAGAGAACACTCAACACCCAGTGGTATACAGTATTTATCGATAGGAAAGAATATTCTGTTATTGAAGAGAGATTAGAGACAGAATCTACCCAAGCCCTGAACCATGTGGACTATGACAAGAAATTTGGGAGAATTGAGTGAGTTGTAGAGTGAGATCTTTCTCAACATTGAATCTAACATGTCGTATTTTTCCAACCAAGTCCCAGATGTTGAGACATGATTCTGACTGGAGAGTTGCAAGTGGCCTATTGGTAGGGATTAATGCTCGCTAGCAGCCTCATTACTACCTGATCCCGCCTCATTAATATCTTGCCTCCCTGTCCACCAGATACAAACTCAATTCCAAAAATTCCCACTGTGAAAGTCCGAGTGGGAACCTGCTGACTAAAGTTCACCACTTGCTCCTCCGGAATTCTGTCTTGTGTGCTGAGACCCCCACCTCAGAGTGTGCCCCATAAGCAGAAGCCACATGCACCCCACATCCATGGACATCCATGTTAATGAGGCACATATGGGAAAATCATGCAAGAAAACTCTCTTGGCCTCACAGAGCCAAACCCTCCATGAAACATGATGAAAATGATACTTTGCCAACATAAAAAAAACGATTCAGCCCTAAGAGATGATCAATGTTGACTCCCTGAAGTTGTCTGAGGTTGAACCAGAATGTTTGCAACCATCTTGTCCTATTGGATTTTGAGATGAACTTTTGACCCACTATTCACATCATCACCGGGATTGCCTGCTTCCAGCTCCATAAAGAAACTTGATTCTGCACATGACTCAACTCATCGACTGCTGAAACCCTCATGCTTTGTTACCTCTTGACTCGACTAATCCAGTGCTTTCTTGGCTGGTCTCCTGTCTTGCACACTAACCCAGCCAAAAAATTTTGGGCTCGTCAAAACTATTGTTCTTATCTTAACTCTCGGCAAATTTCACTCATTATGTGCTTTCTGACTGATTCCAAAAAGCCTCAACTTTTAGATTCCCATCTTCATTTTCAAATCACTCTGTGGTTTCATCCTTCATATTGGTAATTTCCTCCATCCCTACAACTCTTTGAAATCTCAGAATTCTCTAACTCTGGCCTCCTTAACATCTCAATTTTAATTGGTTCACCGTTGATGATTGTGCCTTCAGCTGACAGGACCTGGCACTCTGGAATTCGCTCTCTAAACTTTCCCACTTCTCTGCTTGTCTCTCCTCCTTTAAGATGCTCCTTAAAACCTCTCTCTTTAACCAAACATTTCCTGCCCTCTTTGGACATCTCTCTGTGATTTGGTGGAAAAGTTTATTTGATAAATCTCCTGTAACACACCTGGAGGTTTTTTTTATACACTAAAGACATTGTAAAAAAAAACGTATAAACAAATCATTTTTGTTTTATTATTGGAAATAGTTTAAATACTTTTACAATTTATTGCATTCTATGCTCTCCTTTCCAGACTTATATCATATTTCAGCTATATTCTTTGAAAAAATGATCTGAAATTTTGCTTTTCCTTTCCATAATTTTGTATTTATCTTCCTTACAATTCTTTTTTACAGTTGATATTTTGACAATTTCATGCATAATCTTTTGCCTCCTACTCATTTCACTACACAGGCCACAAGAAACAC